TCAATATGATAGAAAGAGATTAATATTAATTTCTCATAACGGCAGTGGATTCGACAACTGGATCGTGCTTAAAAATGCAAAAAAACTAACGCATTGCCTCTTTAAAAACACCCAGAGGAATTTTATCTTTTCCTTTATCTAATCTATACACGGATGAAGATTTACAGAAAAAATGGAAAAGACAGAAAGAAATAAAGGGTAATTATTTACAACATATTAATTTCACGTGTTCCTATCAACACGAATCCTCTAGTTTGGCTGCATGGGGAAATTCTTCCAATCTTCCCGCGAATTTGAGAAAGATTGCCGACGTAGATATCGCTAAATACACGCGAGACAACTGGGAGGAATTGAGACACGAATGGGAACCTTACGCCAAGAGAGACACTCTCTGTTTGGAAGCTTGTTTGATGAAATACAACCAAGTCACGAAAGAAGTTGTAAACCAGAATATGTCCAATAATCTAACGGCTCCATCTTTATCTTTAAAGGGTTGGTATTATTTATATCATTACGATAAAGAAATGGTGGAAGAAGAATGGTATGAAACTACTAGAATGGTTGCGAAACATTCGGAAAAACAAAACATTGAAAAAGTTTATTCGCACACTAATCCTTTTATAAGGAATTTTATAAGACGTTCCATTAAAGGTGGGAGAGTCTCTGCTAACAGAAAATCGTTCGAAACGAACAAAATGAATGAGATCTGCGCCATATTAAAAGAATACAATGAAAGCGACACTGAAGGAATAATAGATTTATTCAAAAAATACATCGCAAGCACAAAAGACAAAACGGAAGTTCATTCGAGACTTAAAAAAATAGAATGTACTAAACTAATGGCATTTGATGCTAACGGTTTATACGCTTCCGCCATGTCGGATTTAGACAGTGAATATCCGAGAGCGGAAAGTGGAAGACCGTTTCTACCAGAAGAAGAAAAAGAATTTGTAAAACTCTTCAACAAACAAAAATTCAGACCTAGAACAGCTATTTTAACAGTGTGGTTTGACTATCCCAAAAACATTTTCTTCCAACCGATACCAGCTAAAGATAAAATCACTTTCACGAATAAAGAAGGTAAAAAGGAAACTGGTAACAAAATCAGGTTCAGAAATGGTTTCTGTCACGACGTTTTAACATCGGTCGATATTCAAGAAATAGTGAAAGCCGGTGGACGAATTATTAGAATATTAGATGGTATAGTTTACGAAGAAAATTTTAAAACTCCACCCTATAGAGATTATATTTTAATTTTGAGAGATTTAAGAAATAAATATAAACGAGAAGGTAATATCGTGGGTAGTAATTGCATGAAATTATTAGGTAATTCCTTGTATGGTAAATCAATTCAGAAAGATATATTCACAACTAGACATTTATGGAATGAAGCAACTTTACAGGCCAACTTTGATTCACGCGTTAAAACCTATGAGAAAATTAATGATACTCAATATATTGTTGAAACGGAAATTGAAGAAAAAGAGATTACTACTGAATACAGTAAATCTACACGACTAACACCTAGTCATTTGGGATCATTCGTTTTATCTCACAGTAAAAAAATAATGAACAATTTCATTCACGTCATAAATGGATTTTATAAACCCGAAATATACTATACCGACACCGATAGTTTGTACATTTCATCCAAAAATTGGAAAAAACTAAACAGAGCTGGTTTGGTCTCCGAAAAAGACTATTGCA